CACGAACCCGGAAAGGAATGTAGAACTGTAACACATGGCAGCGTTTTCAAAGACACCTGATTGGGTGACGGGCAAATGCAATACTGAAGGTATCGATCTTGATGTACCCTGCCGAGGGCTGTGCTGTGCTGCGCCGTGCTGAATTGCGATGTTGCCATGGCTGTGCTGTGCTGCGCCGTGCGTGGCCTCGCTCCTTGTGCATGTTCATCGCCTCTGGATCGAACTCTATCCCTGAACACCGCATCCGAAACTCTGGATCTTAAGCTCGAGCTGCCTGAACACATAGTAGCTGCCCCAGAGCTAATGGACAGGGGAACATGCCAGGAGGACGCGCCGCGAAACGTCCCAAGGGATGCGCCAGGCGACGTGCCAGGGGACGTGCCATGGGGTCGCACCGCGGGACGTGCCAAGGGGACGCGCTACGGAACGTGCCAATGGATGTGCCACGGGATGTGCCAGGGGACGCGCCACGCGACGTGCCAGGGGGACTCGCCAAAGGACGCCCCACGGAACATGCCGAGGAACGTGCCAAGTTGCAATGCTGAGTGTATCGACCTTGATGTACCGTGCCGAAATCAGTGCTGTGCTGCACCGTGCTCAATTGCGATGTGCCATGGCGCGATTGTGCTCTATAGCCTCGTGGATCGAGTCCTCCTTTGCATCCGAGTCCTGACCGAACTGATCTGCATCTTAAGCTCGAGCTGCCTGAACACATAGTAGCTGCCCCAGAGCTAATGGACAGGGGAACATGCCAGGAGGATGCGACGCAGAACGTCTCAAGGGACGCGCCAAGCGACGTGCCAAGGGACGTGCCATGGGGACGCACCGCGGGACGTGCCAAGGGGACGCGCTACGGAACGTGCTGGGGACAAGCGTTTCGCTCGAGACATCCTGTCAAAATCATCTGAATTCCTACGCGCGGGACGCTGCACGCGCGAGACATCCTCGGAATTCCTGCGAGCGGGACGTGAAAACAAGCATTTCGCCTGAGACATCCTTTGAATTCTGGCCCCCCACGAGGCCACCGCTCGAGACATCCTCCAATTTCGCAAAACCAGCGTTTCGCTCGAGACATCCTCAACAAAGTGAAAAATAAGCGTTTCGCTCGAGACATCCTGTCAAAACCCCACGAAATCCAAATACCCGCGCGCGGGACGCGGCACGCGCGAGACATCCTTCGAATTCCTGCGCGAGGGGCGCTTTTCCGTGTCGCGGTCGGCTCTGCAAAACCAGCGTGTCGCTCGAGACATCCTCAACAAATTCTGAAACCAAGCGTTTCGCTCGAGACATCCCCAACTCTGCAAAACCAGCGTCTCGCTCGAGACATCCTCAACAAATTCTGAAAAACAAGCGTTTCGCTCGAGACATCCTCAAAAATAATTCCGCCGGCCCTACGCGACCTCGTTATTCATCGCAAAAGAAATTTGCCGGCCCTACAGCCGTCAAAACCGGGGGGGAAACCAACTAAAAGAGAACCCTGGGCTCAGGCCCTTTCCGGGAAAAAACATGATGGACCCACGAACCCGGAAAGGGATATAGACATGTGGAGCATGGACACGTTTTCATGATACCCAACTGGGCAACACCTCACGAAACATCCCACGAGACACCTCACGAAACAGCCACGAGACACCTCACGAAACATTCCACGAGACACCTCACGAAACATTTCACGAGACACCCCGCGAAACATTCCACGAGACACCCCACGAAACATTCCACGACGACAGGCAACACTCAACCAAGGCGGTGTGGTCGTGCTGGGGAGTGGTCGTGCTGGGGTGTGGTCGTGCTGGGGGGTGGTCGCGCTGGGGCGTGTGTAGTCGCTGAGGGGGTGGTCGTGCGGTGGGTGATTCGGGTGTGGTCGTGCTGGGGCGTGCTGTCGTGCTGGGGAGTGGTCGTGCTGGGGTGTGGTCGTGCTGGGGGGTGGTCGTGCTGGGGGGTGGTCGTGCTGGGGGTGTGGTCGTGCTGTGGTAAGGTCGTGCTGGGGTGCGGTCGTGCTGGGGTGTGGTCTTGCTGGGGTGGGGTCGTGCTGGGGTGTGATCGTGCTGGGGTGGGGACGTGCTGGGGTGTGGTCGTGCTGGGGTGTGGTCGTGCTAGGGTGGGGTCGTGCTGGGGTGGGGTCGTGCTGGGGAGTGGTCGTGCTGGGGTGTGGTCGTGCTGGGGTGTGGTCTGCTGGGGCGTGGTCGTGCTGGGGTGGGGTCGTGCTGGGGTGGGGTCGTGCTGGGGTATGGTCGTCCGTGTGTGGTCGTGCGTGGTCGTGTGGTGTGCTCGGGCTGGGTCGTGCTGGTCGTGTGGGGGGTGTGCTGTGGTCGTGCTGGGGTGTGGTCGTGCTGTGGTGAGGTCGTGCTCGTGCTGGGGTGTGGTCTTGCTGGGGTAGGGTCGTGCTGGGGGGGTCGTGCTGGGGTGTGGTCGTGCTGGGGTATGGTCGTGCTGGGGTGGGGTCGTGCTGGGGTCGTGCTGGGGTCTGGTCGTGCTGGGGTGTGGTCGTGCTGGGGTATGGTCGTGCTAGGGTGGGGTCGTGCATTTCGCTCGAGACATCCTGCCAAAATTCCAGGAAATCGTACAAAAACAAAGGAATTAGTCGAGACATCATCGAAATTCCTTCGCGCGGGGCGCTTTTCCGCGTCGCGGTCGGCTCTGCAAAACAAGCGTTTCGCTCGAGACATCCTCGGCAAACTCTGCGGAGCAAGCGTTTCGCTCGAGACATCCTCAACACACGAAAAAGTGGCCCGCACCCTGTGATTTATCGATCGGGATTTCAAAAACAAGCGTTTCGCTCGAGACATCCTCAAATTTTAATTCGCCGGCCTCCTTCGACCTCGTTATTTATCAGGGAAAAAATTCGCCGGCCTCCCTCAAGTTGGCACCGGGGGACAGGTTTACCTACTAAAAGAGAACCCTGGGCCGATGCCCTTTCCGGGAACAAGAACCCTCGACGCTGTTGGCATATAAACCCTCCCTCCAACTGGCGCTTGCGGGGGGCCACTCTCCAGGACGTAGCCGCCCTCGTCAGCGCAGGGGCGCCCGCCGCGCCACGGCCTCGGGCGCCTGTCGCCAACAGCTCCCTCGGGCGCGCCAGCGCTGGCGCGCGGCCGCCGTCTCCTGCGCGGCGGCACGCCGCCCGCCGGCGCCTCGGCGCGGGTCCGCGGCGGCGCGCCGCTGGCGCGCTATAGCTCGCTGCGGAGCCCGCTGCGGAACACCCGGGGGGGCGCGGGCCGTCTCGCGCTCCTGGCCTCGGAGGAGGAGGAGGAGGGGGGGGAGGTGGAGGAGGAGGAGGAGGAGGAGGAGGAGGAGGAGAAGGAGGAGGAGGAGTCATCCTGCCTGTTCACCTCGGCCTTCAGCCAGAGGCGGCCTCGGCGCCCAATCTCGCCCCGACATCTATAGGACGAAGGGGACCGGGCGAAAGCTCGTCGCGCTCACCCCTCCGATTGGCACCGCCATCCCCGCGGCCGGCCACTCAGACTTCCGCAATAGGGAGCCCACAAAAGACGTACGCGCCCAGCTATGTACATGAACACGGCCCCTCGATCCGCGAGACCAGCCGCGTTATACGAACATTTGCCCAATGCGCACTCTCGAAACCAGCGTGGACTCATGTACATGTACGTCCTTGTTTCGCTCCTGACGCAAGTGTTCCCGCGGCTGGGTGTTGCACCGTGATGTCGAGCCGGCGCCGCCCGTCGTCGTCTTGGTGCTCCGAGTCGATCGCCGCGCGCTCTGTGTCTCGACCGGGCGGCTGCCTGCCCCACACAGGAAGGACCTCCTGTTCGACGAGGGGCTGCTCGTGTCGCCACCCCCGCAAACGGACAGACAGACAGACAGACAGACAGACGGACGGACAGACGGACAGACGGACAGGCAGGCAGACAGACAAACAGAGCGAGAGAGAGAGAGAGACAGGGAAGCGGCAGCAACCGACACGACGGCGACGGCGACTACAAATGGCGACGGCGACGGCGAGGACGACAGGCGAACGAGCGAAGCGACGGCGACCGACGACGGAGGCGACGGCCACTCACTTGGCGCGGGCCTCCTCAGTGGAAGGACTGATGTCTTTGCTTTAAGACGACGGTGAGGACGAGGAGGAAGCTCGGAGCACTGCGAGGTGAGACACCAGCAACTCAAAATCAGCCCCCTGATCCCTCTCCGGATCTGAACTCACTGGTTCTTCGAGCCGCGTCCAACCGTGGCGACGAGGGGCGGGCCCGAAAGCCAACTGCTGTTGTCTCAACTCGCCCTCCTCTGAAACGAGGGGGAAGAGGGGGAGGAGGAGGAGGAGGAGGAGGAGGAGGAGGAGGAGGAGGAGGAGGAGGAGGAGGAGGAGGAGGAGGAGGGAGGAGGAGGAGGAGGAGGAGGAGGAACAGCAGGAGCAGGAGGAGGTAGGAGGAGGAGGAGGAGCAGGAGAGTAGGAGGGAGGAGCAGGAGGAGGAGGAGCAGGAGGAGGAGAGGAGGAGGAAGCAGGAGGAGGAGCAGGAGGAGGAGCAGGAGGAGGAGGAGGAGGAGGAGGAGGAGGAGGGGGGAGGAGGAGGAACGCAACAACACAAGGAGAGACGAGGCAGGCGGCCGAGAGCACGAGCCGAAAAGGGGGCAACAGCCTAAACCGTCCCTGGCTGGACAAACAGGCGAAGGGCCAGCACGGAGGCTCTGCTTGAGGCGGGCGGCGCAGGCGGCGCGACTTTGGTGGGAGAAGCGGAGGAGGAGGAGAGGCGAGGCGGAAGTTGAGGAAGAGCAGGAGGAGGAGGAGGAAGGAAAATCATGATGATGATGATGATGATGAAGAGGAGGAGGAGGAGGAGGAATAAGGAAAATGATGATGATGATGATGATGATGATAAGGATGATGATGACGATGATGATGATGACGACGATGATGATGATGATGAGGATGACGATGATGATGATGGTGATGATGATGATGAGGAGGAGGAGGAGGAGGAGGAGGAGGAGGAGGAGGAGAAGTCCGCGATCAAGCCACCAACCTGGGGAGGGGGGGGCTC